GTCGAGCCGGCCATCAGTCGTCGCATCCTCCGCCCGATGCCGGAGAACATCTGCATTGACCACTTTCTTAGCAGCGGCCAGTGTGCCCGCCGTCCGCAGTCCTTCGCCGGAGTGGGCGACAGTGTGCCTTTCTACTGGTGCCCGGCGGGCTTCCATCCGCAGAACCTCGCCGCCCTGGAGCGCATTCGCAGTGGCCAACACCAGGGGCTGATTCGCGTCAATCGTGAGGTCGTCTGCTGTCCCGCTATGGTCACCAATCTTCCGCCTCCCCTGCCTCCTCCTCCTCCGCCTGTTCCAGCGGTTCTGGAAAGTTTTCGCCTCTCATCGTTGACCACTGCCGATGACCTGGTGGAGGATCTGGATCTGGAGCAGCTGGCGATCAATGACTTCGAAGATCTTGTCGGCCATGATGGCAATGTAGAAGCAGGAAACCACATCAATAATGTTCCCACCAGCACTGCTCCACGACGATTCCGTTTTCATCTGTTTGACAAGTGCCTCGCCGGCATCCTCTGCGTTCTCGTCGTTTTCATGATCATTTGGCTCTTGGTCAAGCTTGTCTAACTGGCTGCTTGCAAACTCAATGTATACTTGACAAGTTTATTGTTATTGAAATTTCTTGTGTCATTTCACAAAGTGTTAATAAAAAACTTTGATTTCTGCGAGTCTGATTTAGTAAAAACCTTTGAGTTTTTTGCCATTTGAAAAAATTATTTTTGCGNTGACAAGTTTATTGTTATTGAAATTTCTTGTGTCATTTCACAAAGTGTTAGTAAAAAACTTTGATTTCTGCGACTCTGATTTAGTAAAAACCTTGGAGTTTTTGCCATTTGAAAAAATACTTTTTGCGAAAAAAAAATTCGGCGCCAGTTGTGGTCTAATCATAAAGGACGTACCACTGTTTACATCGGGCGACTTGTGCTCGTGCTCTGTTCACCGGCGAATTTGAGCCCTTAATTATTCTTTACTGCTTGTTCACCCAATTTGCGTTCAAGTACAAAACAATAATCATCAAAAAAATCATCAAAAAACCATCAAATTATTGCGTAACAAAAATGCAGCTGAGCAGGGTGAAGTTTGGCTGTGACAAACGGATGGGATTTAGTAGAAAACGCATCGACGACTATCAATCCTGTCATTCGTCGCCAAAAAAGTTGATCATCAAGAATTTCGGTTAGTAGTCGTTGTTGTCAACATTTCAATTTTATTTAAAGATTTTCTTAACTACTTTTTAGAAACTCCCAAACTCATCGATCAACAGGAATGTTGGCCAATGCTCGAACGAGCAGTTCTTTCAATACTCAACCCGACACCGGCTAATGTCAAATCGGAAAATGTCACACCATCACTTGAAGAGCTGTATACCGCAGTACAGAACCTCTGCTCACGAAATAAATCGTACGGTGAAAAGACGTACCAGAAACTGAAAAGCCTCATCAATGCTTACGTCCGCGAAACGCTTCTTCTGACAGTTCTCGAGGAAAGTGAACAGTCTTTGCTGACAATTCTGGAGCAGACTTGGGACGGCTACACAGTAAAGATGAGAATGATTCGAAACATTTTTCTCTGCCTGGATCGAATATACGTTCTAAGTACGCCGAGACTTGCTTCAATCTGGTGAGCTGTTTTTTCCAATGCAAGTGTCAATTTGAGCTAACGAGCATCTTTTTTACACTACAGGGACATGTGCTTAGATTTGTTTCGCAAGGAAATCATTTTCCATGAAAAGGTATTGCAGAGACTTCTTCGCTCTTCGCTTGACGCAATTTCTGCGGAAAGAACCAACACCAGCAGCTCCCAACGGGCTTCACGAATTCAAATGAGAAACATCATGAGAATGATGGTTGATCTGGACATTTATGAAAGCTATTTTGAGCCCAAGTTTCTTCAAGAGTCAAAGGACTTTTACAATGGTGAAGCAATGCGGAAGCTTCGCTTTATTAGCAGCATCACCTTTGACACCATCGTCAACTACTTGGACTTTGTTGCTGAAAAGCTGAAGGAGGAGGAGTTGCGCATTGTCGCCTACGGGCTGGCAATGACGACCACCTCTAAGAAGATTGAAAAAATTCTCGAGAAGGAACTGATCGAGGCACATCTTGATGTGCTGGTTAACAACTGCGTAGAGCTGCTCTTTGGTGATAGGAAGAACTTTCGACACATCAAACTTGCCTATCAGTTGTTTTCTCGCCTTCCCGAGGCGATTGCTCGCATGTGCTTCTGCTTCAATGCATTCGTCAAGAATCGCGGCAAGGCGCTGGTTAACCTCTCTACGAGTGACCCTGAAAAGGACAAAACTCTGATAAAGGATTTGCTCGACTTTAAGGACACGATGGACGTCATTGTCCGTGAGTGTCTAGGCTCAAACCAGCGCTTCGCCAACACTTTGAAAGACGCATTTGAGACGTTTGTGAACATTCGCACGAACAAAGTGGCTGAGCTGATTGCCAAGCACGTGGACTCCATGCTGCGAGACGCCTACAACTTGGAGGTGTCATTTGACCAGCAGATTGACAAGCTGCTGGTGCTCTTCCGCTTCATCCACGGCAAGGACATCTTTGAGGCCTTCTACCAGCGCGACCTCTCCAAACGTCTGCTGGGCGGCAAGTCGGCCTCGGTGGACGCGGAGAAGCTGGTGCTGATGAAGCTGAAGCAGGAGTGCGGCGGTGCGTTTACCTCCAAGCTGGAGGCGATGTTCAAGGACATGGAGCTGTCGCGAGAGCTGACGGCCTCCTTCAAGGTGCACCTCGACAAGAAGGAGAACGCCAGCAAGACCTACCCCATTGATCTCAGCGTGTCAGTGCTCACTACCGGCATCTGGCCCACCTATCTGCCCATTGAGCTGCTGCTCGGCCAGGATCTCAGAGCCTACGAGGACGTCTTTCAGGAGTTCTACCTCTCCAAACACACCGGGCGGAAGCTCACCTGGCAGCACTGCTTTGGCCACTGCCTGCTGAGGGCGCAGTTTGGTGGCGAGGGTAACAAGGTCAGTGTTGTCAACAGCGTTGATGTTTTATTTTGTTAAAATTAACAAAATCTTTCTATCTTTCCAGCGAGACAAAGAGCTGCAGGTGTCGTTTATGCAGGCGCTGGTGCTGATGCAGTTCAACAGCAAGAACACCTTCAGCTACGGCGAAATTCGCAACGCCATTTTGCCGCCCAAGCTGGAGGGCACTGAAGAGAATGAACTCCGGCGCACGCTACAGTCGCTCGCCTGTGGCAAGATTCGCGTGCTCACCAAAAGTCCCAAGGGTCGAGACGTCCTCGACACTGACAGCTTTGCGCTGGATGAAACCTTTGACCACAAGCTGTTTCGCCTGAAGATTAACCAGGTTCAGTGGAAGGAGACTGTAAGTGTGAAGGCTGTCTTTGTTGTGCTTCAGCTGACCATCATTATTGCGTTTTGTCACCGTGTTTAGTTTGAGGAGAACGTCAATACACAAGAAAAGGTGAACCAGGATCGGCAGTACCAGCTGGACGCGGCTGCAGTGCGCATCATGAAGGCGCGCAAGACAATGCTGCACAATGCACTGGTCAATGAAATCTACGAAAAGGTCAACTTTCCAGCGTCGGTAAGTTTCTGAATTTTGTTGTTGTAAGATTGGAGTTTTAAAATTTGTTTATTTTATTTTTGTTTAAAGTCGGCTGAGACGAAGAAGCGCATTGAAAGTTTAATTGAGCGCGATTACCTCCGACGGGACAAGGAGAATCCTATTCTGTATCACTATGTTGCCTGATCTCTCTCTCTTTTGAAACATGTAACGAGCAACAGNGCGCAAGACAATGCTGCACAATGCACTGGTCAATGAAATCTACGAAAAGGTCAACTTTCCAGCGTCGGTAAGTTTCTGAATTTTGTTGTTGTAAGATTGGAGTTTTAAAATTTGTTTATTTTATTTTTGTTTAAAGTCGGCTGAGACGAAGAAGCGCATTGAAAGTTTAATTGAGCGCGATTACCTCCGACGGGACAAGGAGAATCCTATTCTGTATCACTATGTTGCCTGATCTCTCTCTCTTTTGAAACATGTAACGAGCAACAGCTAACAGATAGTATAGCACCTTAACATGTATAGCTCATTTTATTTCATTGTATCAAATTTTCACAATACTACGCCGAGTGACCAACTTTAAGTTCTTCCGGCGTGTTCTCCACTGCTTCAATTGACTTTTCACCCGAGTCTTCACTGCTACTTCTGCTGTTTTTTGGTTTCAGCTCTTCAAACGATCCAGTGCCCTGCATGCTACCGGCAAAGAGCTGGTCGCTTTCAAATATCTCTGCCAGGCGCATCGCCGGCCCTTCGAAAAGTAGATGAAGGAGAAAGGCGACGAAGGTGGTGATCACAAAGTCGAAAATGGTGTTTTGTATCTGGTGGGTTGAGTGTATTCATCAGTAAGTGGGAGAGGGACAAACTTTTTATTTTGTAGTCTTACCGTTTGGAAGAAGTACATCTCATAGGTGTGGCGATGCGTGGTCAGTCGATAGAGCGTGGTCAGCACACTGAGCATGAGAATGCTGGTGGACAGCTTGCCAATTGGCTCGACAAGTCTGAGCAGGTGCTTGAGTGTTCCTGGGGAGGGAAAATTAATTGTCATTGGCACTGCTCAAAAGGATCACCATAGACTTTCACATCACTCACCTGTGCTTGCAATGGCGGCGATGTAGGTCAGGCAGGCAACGGCGCCTGTGAAGAGAAACTTTGAAGAGACGTACCAGGCGAGCGCCGAGGTGGTGGAGAAGTTCTCATTGAACACCCAGAAGGTGTTGTTCCAGGCAAAGACCAGTCCGATGACGACCAGACTAAGGATGGAGAGAAGAACCTGCAGCGCCGTCTTTCCGCTCAGTGCCGCCCAGCCACCGTTTCTTCTCTTCTCAACGAGCAGATACCCGGAGAGGAGGCCAATGAGCAGCGAAGTGATGTACTGGCCGGTGCTGCTCGTGTACTGGTGGTAAGCGGCGTACATCGAGGTCAGCGAGGTGTGCGAGGTCAGCTCGAGGAAGGTGGGCCGACCGGAGATGAGGTACGGCGCCAGTGTACCGAGTGGACCGAGAAGCAGCAGCAGAGCGAGCAGCAGGGTGAGGCCCAGCTTTGGCCGGCGAAGAAGGGGCAGAAAGACGAGCGGCGCCAACATGATCAGCTGCATTGAGGCGGAGAAGTACCAAGTGGGCGGGTTGCACTGGAAGAAAGAAGGAGGAAAGAGGGTTAGTAATGATCAAAACATTATAAAAATGAAAGCTTTGCACCACTTACCACAGGAAACTCATCCTTGATGGTGTAGTCGTCCAGTGCCTGGTTCCAATTGGAGTAGTAGAGAAAGCTGGACACGAGCGAGGGTGTACGGGTGCAGGCCGGCCACAGCCAGTTGCGGTTCAGGTAGAAGAAGGGACCGTTACCGGTGAGGGGCAGCAGGAAGAGCAGCAGCAGGGCGCCGAACATGGGCACCGAGTGGCGGAACCAGTGCCGCCAGAAGTAGGCAAAGTAGCCGAACGAGCGGGAGCTGTGCGTCTGGAAGAACTCCGCTTGGCGGAGGACAATGCTGACGCCGGTGATGAAGACCAGGCCGTCCACCCAGACGGAGGGCATGCGGGCGAACCAGTACCGGTCGTCGGAGACCAGCTGGTAGGGCACGGTGTTCACCCAGTTGCGCAGCAGCTGCGGCGTGACCAACAGGCCGAAGGTGAAGGACTGCGAGGCGAAGAGCAGAAAGGTGAACAGCAGCTGAACGGCGTGCACCAGGCCCATGAAGGACGTCTTCTCCGGTGACAGCAACTTTTTGGTGTTGTGCACCACCGAGAAGGTGATGGCGAACTGCTGGCAGATGCTGCGAACTGGCTTCAGCTCGGCTCGGCTTCCCTCCAAGTTCAGGCACAGATTGACGCCGGAACTTTTCGAGCAGCCCTCCTTGTTGTCATTGGTGTTGGCGCTTGTTCCTGATGATTTCAGTAGCACCTTCTGTACCGATTTGGGATCTCGGACGCAGATTAGATAAAGATGGTAGAGGGTGGAAATTAGAGCTAGCGTTGAAACTGCACCCAGGACAATGCTAGGGTTTTAAAAAAAGCGCATTATTAGCAAAAGAATTTGGATTATGGATAAGGGTGGCACTTACATGGCAATCCACTGAACACGGTCGAGCTTCGTTTCAGTAATATCCGGGTGCTTTTCACAGTACGCAATGCGGAATGGCAGCTTCAAGATTGGATAAATAACTACGCAGGATCAATAGAGGTTAGTTCGGTATTACAGAAAACAACTTTGACTAAAAATGGGTTTTGCTCACTTTGATTGATGACCATCTCCAGCTCCTGGGGGCTGCAGCTGGCTGGAACGCAGAGGCCGACGTGGAAGAAGCAGACGTCCTTGTCTATCCAGTCGAGCATCTCCTTCATCATGCGCACCAGGTAGGCCTCCTCATCGAGAAAGTTGTTCATCTTCATCTGGCTGCGAACGAACTCCAACGCCTGCCGTATGTAGGTGTTATCGAGGAAGACCGTCTCGGCGTAGCGGGTGCTGGTTTTCGTCTTGGGAATAATCGATCGCGCCTCCATCTGACAGTACTGACCGTAGATGCGGCGGCCGTTTTCCAGCACCGGCGACCGGATGCCCAGGCACTGGTCGTACTCGCCCAGGGCGCTGATGTGCACTGTCATCATGCCGCTGGGAGGCATCGCCATTGAGTCTATGACTGAAATTAGCAGGTAATACAAGTTAGATGGAAGTTTTGGTTTGTCAAAAATCGGCACCATTACGTACACTTGACCGGCCACAGCTGGCCACTGCGCAGGCTGCTGCCGATGTTGGCCAGGTCGGCGGTGCACTCTGCCGACACCTTGGCGTCGTACAGCCGGTCCATCATTACCGAGGAGACGTACATGGCCGTGTCGGCGAGGTCTTTGTTTTTGCTGACCTTCACGCCGTGGTCAATCACAGACTGGATGATGGCCATCATGTCGGTGATGTTGTAGTGCTTGTTTGCCCAGTCGGTCTTTGTCACCGAATCGTACGCCGCCTCGTAGTCGTCCGGCAGAAAGGGGCTGCCGTCGATGTTCCTCACCACCGAACTGAGCCTCATGTCGCAGCCTTCCTCCTCACCACCGTCGTCACCCTCATCGTCGTCATCATCATCACCCTCTTCACCCTCACCACCAATTTTCACTGCCTTCACAGCCACAGGCACTTGTGGTGGGTCAGCAGCATCATCGCCTACATTGGAAATCTTTTCCGTTGTCGAATCATCAGCCGGGAGCACCACTGCTGGCTCTGTGGAATCTTCATCGTCAGCTTCGGCTGATTCAGTTGAAGCATTGGCGGTCACTAGGGTAACACTTAGCAGACACAACAAAAATATTCGTCTGAGATGCATTATGAACAAAAGCTAAAGCTAAAATAATAATAAGTGTTCCCGGCAATTAGTGAAACTAAAAGCAGTGACTTTTTATGACTTTTTTGTAAAAATATTGTAGGGAATATTTTCTGCGAGTGTTCAATGCGTACCTGCCATATTTCGCACCCCTTGACATTTTTAGCTGCCATAAAAAATG